AAGAAGCACCATATACTTACTTTGTAAGTTAGAAAGCTCCGCAATATCACCAATAGGGTCCCAAGTCGTGTCCTAGTAGAGCCAAAGTCGTGCTCTTCATTTTCTTCTTCTCTTCTTCTATGTTTTTTGCACATAAAAATGTATATGATAAATCAGATTTTTAACCATGCACCGTAGCACACGCAACCCTCCGCCACAACATATAGCATAAAGAGGTCATTGCATTTAAAATTTGCCTCTGTGCGCCACAGCGGATTGACTATATGTCACGGTATGTGACACAGAGAGCTTCACCTTACTTTTTCTTCCTCTTTTCTTGCCTCGATAGCTCGCCATCAATCCAAACCCCCTTCTAGGGTTGAAATTACCATAAATTACACTAATTAGACCCCTTTAGTCATACACCTTATTAACTTACTAATCATATTCATTAGATTGATAAATCAAGATTAAATTTACCGGATGTTACATGGAGCTCCTTGTCCCTTCTTAACTTCTCTCTCTTTTCTTTTTGATTTTTGCATCTTTTTGCTACTTAAAACACATTTTTTATGTGTCTATTATGGACAGTTGTGCACATTATAATTATTATTCGATTGCTGTCAAAGCTATTAATTCAAATTTTCTCCTTCTATCTATAACCGTGGATGGTTATTTCTAGTAAAGAACTCAACTGCAAACGGTTATGAACAAAGAGCACACTTCTCTTACAAGGATGCTCGTCTACTTACAGTAGTCACCTATTGGGTTACAACCACAAGCGCTCATGCATAGAGATCCGAATTCCCCTTTAAAATCACTTTTAAGCCCCAAATCTTACTATACCTTACACATAGCCCATTCATACTTTGTTTATTACTCCTAATTACCCTTAGTTAATCTAATTTAATTCAATAATAAAAATTCACAATGTTACATATTCTACATTGATCAAAAGTGTAGGGAGGAAATTCATATATTTAATGAGAATAGAGTCCTCTTGTAAGTGTTTAGAGTAGGAGTGGAATTTTGTCCATCCTCTCTTTCTTCCTATTCATTGAATTTAAGTCCTCTTTGGTTCTTCTTCTTCTTCTTCGTCTGCTTTATTGCTGAAGATTTGATGGATGAAGCTTAGATCCTTCTCTTCTCTATTGCTTATTGGTGAGCCAAGTGTCGCGTGTCTAGCTTTTGGTCAAATTTAAATTTTTAACCGTCAATGTTATTGACATGGTAAAATTGCATGGTTTTCTAAATTTCAGGATAACATTACTTCTACTAAAAGGTAAGGGTATTAGTTACTTCTTTGTAAAATTTTTGAGGCATTTTTGCCTCTAAACGTGTAAACCAATTGCATACACACTCTTTTCCATTTCATACAATTATAGTGTCCCAATTCACAATAAATTAAATGAATTACACAAAATCGTGAGTATTAAGCATGTTGATAATAAAATAAAATTTTAAACACGTTAATGCACTTATTTGTAATTAATATGAATTCCATTTTGAAAGCTATTTGACGAAAATGACATTGCTTAGGAGAAGGAAGGACAGTCTTCCAACAAAATCAAAGATTGTGTCGCCCATGATTAAAATCCTCTTCCTTTTTGCATTATGTCATAATTTATAATTAGTGGGTGCCCTGTCAAAAACTACTCCCACAAATATATCATTTTTTCTCTATCTCCCACTTGTGATACTTTCTCTTATTAATTAAATAATTGGTTAAACATCAGGTCTTAATACAGCGTTTACAAGAAATCTGTGTTGTGAGGATAGGAATTATGAAGACCACTTTTCAATTATAAAAATACAAAACCAATAATAAGCCTGGAAATGATAAAGGTAGGTTCTGGTTCCACTGAGATTACATATACAAATAATGGTAGGTACATTTATACGCATGGAAGGAAGCAAATAATGAAGCTTGATTTCTTTTGGGAAGCTTTAATTTTGACAATGGAACAAAGACAAAAGAGGGAAAGCAAAGGAAAGAAGCAAAAGGTCAGGCATGCACTACAGTGAATCCCACTAAAATAGACACCAATAGCACAATATTGGTAAAGGAAAGAGAGAGGCAGAAAAAAATAAAAGGAAAAGTGAAATGGGAGAAGCAAAATAGAGAGAAAGGGCAAAAGGGCAAGGTAATTTATAAATCCACATGTCATTGGGGTTTGGCTCTCTTTTATTCTTGTTGGTGTTGAAAAGTGATTGAGCACTTAATCACATCATTAGCCTTCCTCTAATCCAACTAACCACCTCCCAACTCAAGCAAACATTGCATTATGTCATCAAATGTATTAATCCCCTCTCACTACTTTCCCTTTCTCTCCACTGTTGTCCATGTTCCTCTCTCTCTTCATTAGTTCTTCTCCTTCCTTCTGCATTTCATTTTATATACTTTCTTTTTGTGTAAGATAAATTATTATTTACTATTTTGATTTTATTTACAAGTAAAGTTCCATATCTCGATAAGTATTTATTATAATTTTTTAAATTATTTCTTATAAATTCATAATATTTAATCACGAGAAACAATTAATATAATCTTATTTTGATTAAAAACAAGTGTATTTTACTCTAGTTTTTTTATTTCCAAATACAATTGTTACAATTGATTGATTTTCTTAAATTGTATGATATAGTTATTTTTTCTTATTTACATAGAAATAGAAAAAGTACTACTATATCCGTCCTCATTTTATAAGATATTTTTTAAGGAAATTTAGTACCCTATAATATAAAATATTTTATTAATAATAATTATTTCAATAATACCCCCCATTATTTCACTTGTTAACTAAATTTATTTTACTCTCTTTTATTATTAAAGGGTAATTTTGAAAGTGTATAAAAAAAAGATCATAAACTATATTTAATGAATTTCATTGATATGCGGGTTTTGCCAAAAAAAATGCTCTATTAAAAAATATAAAGTATTTTTAATTAAATTAAACTCTTATTAAGTTAGTTAAATGTCTTTAAATTGATATTATCCTTTTATTTTTGTCTTTATTTAATAAAGTGTCTCACTTAAAGGTGAATAATTGAGTAATTGATTTATTAAGGGTATTTAAAAAATTTATTAATCATACATTAAAAAAGTAAAAATATTTTATATTTTTTAAACGTCTAACTTCAAAACAATGTGATATATTTTTTAAGGAGAGTAGTACATTATAAATTGTGACAAAACAAGTTTTTTTTTTTTGGCTTTACATATTAAAAAAATTACAGTAAATTGGAGAAAACAAAACTAGTTTGACGGGATGTCCCCGGAGGGACAGAAAGCTAGTGGTTTAATGAAACTAATAAATGGATGCTTTGTTGGCACAATGTGAAGGTCGTGAAGCAAACGTATGCAATTAATCATTAATGAGCACACAAGTACAAGCTCTCTTCAAGTTTCCAACCATAGGGTTCCTACGTTGGCTGTATAATTAATGCCTTCTCACCCTAATCCTACTCCCCTCAATTATGAAAGCATCGGAAGAAGATACTAGGTCTTTCAAATATACTTCCTCAATTTTAAATTATTAGTCATTTAAAAAAAATTTAAATTTTAAAATTTAAGATACTTTAATAAAAATAATTTTTTATTTATGATAATTTATTAATATTATTCTTTTCATATATTCTCTTTTGTTAATATTCTTTTATCAATAAAATATTAAATGAAGGATATTTTAAAAGTTTGTATTTTTATTTTAAAAAAGTAAAGTTATGAAATGCATTTAATAAATTTTATTGATATGTGAGATTTTATTTAAAATTATTTTATAATTTAGAATGCAAGAAGTATAATTTAATTTAAGTTAAAGAAATCTTGTTCATATTTCTCTCTTCAATCCAATATTCAAACTTGCTAGTGTTATATTGTCTCACATCAAACACACAATCCTAACAGGATATATATATATATATATATATGTATGTATGTATGTATGTATGTATGTATGTATGTATGTATGTGTATTTTATCTCTTAATACACTATTTTTCAAGTCAATCCATTTGTCCATATACTGCAAACATTGAAAGAAGAAATTTATGCACAAGTTAATATTTTAGTTTAAAAGCAAACATGTCAATCTTAAATTCAAATCTTACAATTGATGAGTTTGCAAGCTTGCATTTCAAAGTATGATAGGTATTCACAAATTGAGTCTAGATTGTGCCATCCCTATGTATTTCAACTTCATAAAAAAAATTACAGGAATTGCCTTGAATTTACTTGTGAGCACAATCAAATCACTCTAAGTGTTCAAAATTTCAAGCAAATCATTTCAAAAGAAAATTATGTTCTATTTTTTTTTTTTTTTTGAAAGAATGAAGGTTACTTATATTTGAGTAAGAGTGGTGGGCGGGATTCAAGTTTGAAAGCAAGAGAATGAGAGAAGAATGGGAGAGGAGAGAGGGATACGAGGTGGGGCCCATGAAAGGAGGGTCAAAGCCCTTTCACCCACTGCCCGACAATCGCCTTCTCTCCTCACATGCTTCCTACTTACTCCTTTCTCTATTTCTTGCCCCTTTACTTTTTTCTTCTCTTCTTTATTCTCTATTTATCATCACTCTAATCACCACTATATATGATACTACAACATGATACATTGACTTGTTTACCCTTAAACACAAGGTCTTCAGTTAAACATTTTTCTCAAGACTACCCTCAATTGAATATGATATAATGTTTAAATTTGACCTAGTCAAACAAGGGCTTGTTTTCATCCATATTCAAAAGCATCTAACCTTCATCATATCCATTCTTTATTAACATGCTTCATATAAAAATAACGTTATTAAGAATAAAATTTTTCTGCCAAGATGAAACAAAACCTTCAAACTAAAGAGAATCGAGTTAAAAAAATTCTTTTCAAAGCACACAAATATTAACTTGACCCCAAAAGTCTTAGAGTGGACCATCCGGGGCTCCCATCTCCATGCTGGGGAAAAAAAATATTCCATACCAGCCAGGCAGCGAAGCGTTCAACGTGAAGTGAACGTTAGAAACCGTAAACAAAATGAACAAGAATTGTTCTGAATTTATTATAGAATGAAAGATATAATTAAGTATGTCCATATAAAATATGGTCCCGAAGAGATCCATTTAAAATTTAAAAAAAAAAAACAGAACGGAAAGAGTGCCTAAGAACTTATAGTAGAGATATGCAGAACGCAGCAGCAGATACATTTCTTCATTGCCAACTTTGTCCTCCCGATCGTTCACCTTCTGCACCTCAGGAGACAAACCGTTTTCATGGGCAGTGTTGGAAATGAAGACATGAAGCGCCGAGAGGAACAGCGAATGCAGCGAATATAAAAACATCCTCTTCTTGGGTGCTTTGTTCTTTCCGAGGATCTCTTCAAGGAGATGCGCCAATGATTCCGACAGTGACCCGATTGAACGGTGACAATGTCATTTGTTGTTGTTCTTGGGGTCTGGTCTTCTTGAACAGTGGCTCCGGGGATGAACATAATGATGACCCCACCGCCCACGAATCGTTGGAACCATCAGACCCAAAAACTGCGTCGATTACGCCACTTGGGCTCCCGGGACTCATTTCCCCGTACCTCCGCTTCTTCGTCTTGTTATGCCCGTAGTTATAATAATAATTGTTACGGCTTGACAGCTCCTGTATCGCATTATTGCACTCATCCACTTTCTCCTGCCAAATTACAGAGCCAAAATACCTCAACTTACATCCAGATCAAATCATGCGTTTATCATGTATTCTGCATTAATTTACTATTTAGCAGCTTTTCATTAAGAATGCCCTAGAAGCCCATACCTTGTTGCTTTTAAGAATGCCCAGAAGCTGATTTTTATATTCAACTCCTTCACTCTGCTCAATCTGGTCTACCACGTGCAGCATTGTCGCGGTAGCCAATATCGAAGGGAGATAACCCACAAATCTTGAATCTGGACTCCATAAAACACGCACATACTGATCGATAAGCGATCTTGAGAGTAAAGGGTACTTTTTCATATATTTGTTTTCCTGGTGTTTTTGAATTGAATCTCAGTTACTTACCCGGAAGTATAGAGAGTAGGAGATGCTCGCAGCGCCTAAGGAACTCCCAGTGAAGATGGGTTTTCAAGCCGAGCCTCCTTATGATGTGATCAAGAAACGAGAGAGGGGTTACTGGGTGCATCTTCCATTTGAGCGTTGATAGAACAAGCAGCTCCATTCTCTGTATAGTCTTTGCCTCGAACATGTATTTAGTATCTTCCACCTGAAACAGAAGATATAGCAGAAGCATGTTGATTTATGATGTCCGGAGACATGAGAATCCCAAGTTTGTATTTTTCTTTTTTCTTGGTTTAGTTTAACGTACTTGGAAATCTAGAAGAAGAGGGACTTGAGTTTCTTCAACTTTTGCTGCGAGAGAGAGGCAAGTGACAGCCACTAGCTGGATCATCCACGGCTTCTCCCTTTGAAAATGGAAGCTCGAGAGGAACCTGTCCAGATAGTGGATGGCCAGTGTTGCCGTTAGAGCAGAGAAGCCATAATGGGCTTTGACCTTAAGCATCCATTCCACTGACTCGCGACGAGCCAGAGAGAGATCGACGCTCAGGTCAAAGCAAGCTTCTTCTTCCCTGGCGAAGAGAGAGTCGAGCTCTTCGTCTTCCCAGAACAAGTCTTGGTCCAACAAGATCCGAGGAAGAGGAAGACCAGCCTCATCATTCCCTTCCACTTGTTCTATTTCATCCTCCTCCTCCTCCCACTTTTCTTCGTCACAGTAAAGAGCATCAAGGAAGGAGGAAGAGTTCTCGTGGTGAGCTAGTTGGTCATTGTGATGGTGGAGGATTGCCATCTTCCTCTGCGAAGAAGAGAGGGAGTGAGAAAGAGTGTTTTGGTCATCATAGAAAGTGAAGACACAGTGGCTCACCCATCCCTGTCTCTCTCTCGCTCTATCTGTGTGTGTCTCAGTAATGGGGAAGCAGAGGAGAGAATTGGTGAGAGGAAGAGGAAGAAAAGTAGAAGGAGATATTGAATTTAGAGGCGAGTGGGTTTCACGCTTGTCTTTTATAGAGAGAGAGAGAGAGAGAGAGTGTGTGTGTGTGTGTGTGTGTGTGCGCGTGTGTTCTGATGTTGGTGCTTTCGGTGTTTAGTTGGAGGGCAGAAATCTTAAGGGCACACAAATCAAGCCGGACCCAGTGAAAACAACCTCCTATAAACCTAAATAAAGACGCATGGAAGCAGGGCATTGAGGCAGACACACTCTCCTGCTCTGCTCCTCTGCTATTCAATTCTTCTTGTTTTTTCCCCCATTCCTCTTGATCAATTTGTTTTTCTGCTTTCTGGGCTTAATGGCCTCACTCTGACAACAATGGCCCAACTTAATTTTCAGCCCATTGTTCGCTAAGAGTTCCTCGAATTTATCAATATATTTTGACTATTTTCTTTTCATCAGACAACTTTCTTTCACTTTATCTCCCCCCCCCGGGTCTCTTTTCTGATTTTCCACACTCCTTTTGTCTTGCCAAACAGTATCTTAAAGAACTATTGTTATTATTTTTAATCAATAATTAATTTTTGCGGATTGTTTCGGGAACATTTTAAAAGTTTTTATTTGGAAAAAACTGTTATGCAAAATCCTCCCTGCAATCCTATATACGAAGTCACAATCTTGAAAAAAAAAAAAACCAATTGATAACCCTTTTTATGAGTAAAAAGAACTTTGTACAAATAGATAGACCCTTGGGCCTAATGATATCAAGTTGCGTCTTTGTGGCACTAGATTCTAGGTTCAATCTCATGGCTCTTCAAGTACTGTGCCTGCACTTTTAAGAAAACTTTGTATAAATAGATATATTACTAATTGTTTTCTTTCTTTCTTTTTTTTTTTTTTACAATTTCCTATGAGTAGAGAAAGATGTTGCATATGAGAGAAAAATTTAAAAATTTTCATTTTTTTGAGACAACTTCAATGATTTGACTATTACTTCTAGTGAGAAAGTGAAAAATGACTTAGAAGAGTGTAATATTTGATTTAGATATACCACTGCTCTAGACCTTTGATCAGTCCAAGAAGAATGTATTTCTTTCTCTTATACCAAAAAAAAATTGAGATATAGATAATTTATTATATTAATATTATCATTATTTAACAATAACAATCTGTTTTAAAATTTTGACATGAAGAAATAAAAGCTATCATTAATACGGAAAATACTTTCTTGGAGTCCTTTTATTACGTACATGAGAACCTCAGCTTAATTAATCAGCATTTAAATTGAAACATGGGTTAGGTGTTGTAAGGGCAAGAATGTGGGTATGGCATGACAAAGGAAGGCTAGCTCTGGACCAGCTGAGGAAGCAGGTAGTGTGATATTCTCATAAGCACAAGGCACATTAATTGCAATTTGCAAAGGAATGAGATGGATGAAGCAGTGGTCAGCCCTACCTCTGTATATATTTTGGGGTTTGGGTGCAACAAGGTGGAAAGGGATAAATCATTGAGGTGATGATGGAGAGAGTAAAGTGAGACACTCAGCTGTCTGTCACTCTTTAGTAGAATCATACAAGCAAAGCAACATCTTTCTACTTGAACTTGTAAATCTGATGATGGCCACACACCCATTTATACTCCCTTTAATCTTTTTTATCAAGCCATTTAACTTTTTACTAAATTTGTGATCTCTATGAGAGATAAATTCTCACCCCAAAACTTGTAAATTTGTGTTTTTTGAATATTATTTATTAAAGACTCAGAACATGATTTCATAAGTCTAAATATAGGTAATTAGCATTCATCGAATGCACATCTACAAGAATTTACGATTCAGAGATGGTAAACTTAACAATAAACATTAAGAGCAGCTTTTGATTTTGGTCCTTCTAAGTTTTTTTTTTTTTTTTAATGTGTACCCTATGTACCATTAAGAGTTTGTTGGGTGTTTAAGAGCTGAGGCATTGAGTTGATTGATGATAGGGTTGAGAATCCATGTTTTCTCACAGTGTCAGTACCACATACGAAAGATCCCCAACGCCTTTGAAAGTGAAATTCCCAAGAATAATTTGAAAGCAGGATGCACTTTGGAAGCCAAATTGTTTATAAAAATGGGCCTGCACTCTTGTACGTACGTTACTCATTCTTTTCCCAATCTCCGACCGAGTTATGCTCTTCTGTTACTTGTGAACGAGCTTCACAGGGCATCATTATTGATTTCAAAGCTTCACAGGGCATCATTACTGATTTCAAATTGAGAAGTCACAATGCAGGTTTATTTTCCATTTGGAACAAGACATTGTGGTGAACTTGGGACAACATTAGTTATGGTTTTCCCAACACTGTTTTGTAGCCGCGTACTATAGCCTTCTCTCTTTCTTTCTTTCATAAGGACCCAGCTAAAACCGTGCAATCATTTAAAAAAAAAATAGTCAGGAAACACCCAAATGTAAAATGATCTCATACCATAATGGTGGATCATAAATAATTCTAGGATAAAGGGGCAAAATAATCAAAAAGTTGTCAGCTAATAACATCTAGTATTTTAAAATGAGAAAAAGCGCAAAAGTGTTCATGAAGTTATTTTTTTAGTGCATTTGTGACCAAACAGTTAAATTTCATATCTACAACATAATGGTCAAAGTTGGTGATTTATAACAATTTGGTCACAGATGCACAGAAAAAATAATTTCATGGATACTCATCTATTTTTTCTCGTTTTAGGCTATCAAATTCTTCTGAGCAACAACTTTTTAGTTATTTTTGTCCCTTTGCCCAAAATTATAATATCAAAACTATCCCTATCAATTTGATGAACCATTCAATCAGCACAATAATTTGCTTTTCTAAAAACTTTGTTAATGGAGACTACTAATCATGCATAGGGCTGTGCAAAAGTCTTGTAGTCTTATTCGGTCCGGTCCGACCTATGAAAATCCGGTCCTGTCCAATCCTGTAAAATGCTGGTCCTATAGGATCAAAAAGACCAAAAAGATAGGACTGATTTTTCGGGTAAAACTAGACTAGAGACCAAGCATCTGAACTAAGTGGTCCGGTTTGGTCCTATATAATTATTTTAATATAATTAAAATTAATTTATAAATTATTAATTAATAAGCCTTAGAAAAAAAAAGTCTCAATCCTGCCTTTCACTTTGCACTCTGATCGAAAAAAAAACTCAACACTGTTACTCAACAGCACTTAACATCTCAATCACTCACTCAACTTTGCTCTCATTCTCAATTTCTTCAGTGCGCCAAAGCCCTAGCCCCTGCCTTGCACTTTGCACTCTGATCTTGATCTGTTCGAACTCTGAAGGAACATGTCTGTGGGCTGATTTTTATTACTTCTGTTCTTGCTGATTTTTTCCTCTGGTCTATTTTTGGTCTTTCCTCTGATTTTTTATTGAAGTTATGTATTTAAATCATTTGAAGTTTGGACTGTAACTAAAATATTATTTTCTTGGTATTAGAAATTATTATGGATTTATTATAATTATAAGTGTTTTTATTATCTTAATTGAATTTGTTAAATTGAAATAGATTATTGGTCATCATAGAGAAAAAAAAAAGGCCAAGTGAGTATTTGACTAACAGGACCAATCTCCCAGTCCTATGGACCAAATTCAGTCTTGTTAATCTCTAGGTTTTTACAGGATCAGACCGGATTATGGGTTACCTAACCCAGTCCTTTTCATAAAAAGGATCAAACTCCGGGTTAGGCTAAAGTCCAGTCCCGTTCAGTCTTTTGTGCAGCCCTAATCATGCATAAGAAGGTTCCTAATGCTTCTAACAAGATTATTAAGAGGGTGATAAAGCATGTATTCATTTTGTATAAGATGAATAGCTTTTAAAAAGTCACAGTGAACATTGAAATGAGAGTAATTTTCTTCCCAACAGAGTTTAAGACTTTTCAGGATTGCCAAAAACTCTGTAGTAATACCGAGATGATACCTAGATATTTTGTAAACCTATATTTTCAAGATCCTTGCAAGTCTTATATGACTCCGTCACAAGTAACGAACCCATAAGAATCAATAGAGTCATCAATGTCTAACTTGACCCAACTTGGATCTAGAGGTATCTATTTTGAGAACAAGTCTTTTTACCGGATTATTTTTGTAAAAAAAAAATTATTTATTTACACAAGCTTAATGACAAACCTTTATTTTTAATTGTTTGAAATTTGAATTTAACCTTAAACATTTTTTGGCTTTAAAAGATTCTTAAACAAATTTACATTAATAAACTCCATTATGTGTTTGTCCCCAAACAGCTCCAAGAGTAATGCGTGCGTGCATAATTGAGGATTTAAGTTGTTCTATGTTCGTGTGACCAAAGCTTAATGGTATTTAATTCGGTGATTATGAGCCCAATGTTCACATCTATAGTTTCCGCCTATATATAGGCGAGGATGCAGATAGGACGAGATGCCAGGCTCTAGAGTTCTCAAGCCACTTCTTCCCTCCTCTTTTGCCTATGCACCATGTTCATCTGAGTTGCTTTCTAGTCAGTTTTGCTATTCTGTTATCTTGTTTGTATAGGAAGTGTTTGTTTAATCTTAAAAAATTGTTAGTATACCGGAATAGTTTTTAAAAATAGTGTCATTTGACACAACTCAAGCAATGCACCTCTCAATTTACCTGCACACAGCCAACATAATATAGGGGGTAAGTAGCGAGATAGCAGATTAAGATTCCAACCCCATACTGCCGTTGTGAGATTAGAAACTACTGTAGCCTTTGAGTTACAATCCCAACTCATATCGACTGAATTTGTTCTCCTCGGTAACAAAAAGGAATCTTTAATTCTTCTCTCCAACCATTGTGGCTTGCAAGATGAGAACGCATCGCTCCCGAACCTATACATGGCGGCATTTTGAAATTGTCAAGTAACGGAAATTTTCATAATTGGGATTTTGAATCATTTTTCATTACTTTATTCTTGAATGAAATCAATCTGAACCAACTTTGTATGTATATATACCAGCTCCTCCTAAAAATTAATTACTTAAATACTAAAACATTTGACTTGATAAATCATTAATAAATCGATGGATCTAAATAAGACATTTGACACTTAGTGAGGCACTTCTGTACACCACTGCTGGATTTGAAAGCTTTAGTACACCATCGCATACAACCTATGGGTCTACAGTCACAAAGAGAACGAGCACATCTATTTTTGGCGTCTATTAACATTTAACACAATATAAGTACTATTTAAACATTTCTCCATCCAGTGACAAACAAGAACTCCTGAGTCATTTGAAAATTTCCCCTTTCATTATCTGCGAAAATTTTTGAATGGGTCTTGTTTTAAAACCATCAGGCCTGGGAACTATCAACTAATCATAAGAAAATTTTCTTTTGCTTCGTAGCTTCGTTTTTGCAAGTGCCAACTTATCTGGACGAAAAAAATCATTTGCAAACAGATGACAATAAAGATATGTGGAATCATCTCGAAGAATTACTCGAATATTAAAAAAGCGGGCTTAATATGGTTCAAGTTAAAACTATGTACAGTATATACCACTAAGTTTCTATTATTCAAGCAGTTCCCCCTTGTCTGAAACGGAACGGAGCTTCAAAATGCAGAATCTAAAATGCGAGCTTTAAAAGTGTAGAATAATAAAGCATATTTACAGCAATGACAATTCAAATTGAAAAATTCTGAAGTCGCATTCCATCTCATATACGTTCCTCATCGTCTTGAGTCCTCAAGAAAGTCTTGTCATTTCACAAACATATCAAACGAAGTTGATCCTGGCAGCATATCTTTGCTGACCTCTCAAGCTTGAAGCCGGGGATCGCCTCAAAGCTTTTATTCCAAATGGATTCTCACTGCTCTGTTTCATTCACAGCAGCTCATTCCCATCAGCAAAGTCATATCGAATGCCCAAGTTATATGGATACAGAATACCTCATTCGAGAAGGAAGTGTAATGGAGTAATACTTACCACTCTGCAAGTTCCAGCTCTTGCATCACAGACAGGGTAATCAGAAGGGCAACAACTCAAATGGTCGTCACAGCAGGTTGCAGATTCAAGAGGGCAACATCCCCATCCAAAGCAGAAGTTTTGGTACTCATAGACGCAGCAACAAGTGGAACCAGAAGGACAAGAGTAGTAATCATCACATTGAGTCTCAGGCTTTGATGGAGACGGAGGGGAAGGCCCAGGATTAGGAGGGTTGTTACCCTTCTTTGTAGGGTACGATGCCTCCATTGCGATGCCACACTTGCCTGTCTTGCCACCACTTGCCACGTTCCTCTCTAGCTTGATGTAACCCTCCTCTCCCCACGATGGACCCCACGAGTTCCTCACTAACCAGTAATTCTTACCATTCTCCGTTCCATATCCCACCGCCACCACTCCATGATCAAGCTGCGTTCCACACTGCTCTGTGAATACACCCTGCCAAAATCCCATCTCAGAGACACACACTTCTTTGAGAGTGCTGAATGGTCAAAGATATTTAGAGTATGATTACCGAGTGATAAAGCTGAAATGCCCTGCCACCAGCTTCAATGGCAACACTAACTGGCTGGTTCGCAACAGCCTTCATCAAGGAAAGCTCATCATTTTCTGGGACATCTTCGTATCCATCAATGGTGACGACACGGGCATTTTTCTGGGAATCCAAACAGAACTTAATATTGGTGTTAGATTATAGAGCAGGAAGTTCAATTGGAAGATGCGTAGGAACTTAAGATGAGAGTCATACCCTGTTGGGATCGCATGCACCATCACGAGCACGGTAAGGGTAATCCTCGTCGGTGTCAATGCCTCCATTGGTGATGATGAACTCAAAGGCATAGTCCATGAGACCTCCATTGCATCCCTGGTTGTAAGATCTGTCACAATCCACCAGTTCTTGCTCTGACAGCGATATGAGGTCCCCGGTCACGATTTGATTGATCCCTTCCACGGCTCCGATGGCAGAGAATGACCAGCAACTCCCTTCATTTTCAAAACCCCACTCCATTAATCTCATTTAATGGAAAACGATATAACACCCACCTACTGCAGTTTTTCCTATCTAATCATCTAAATAAATAAAACTAACCGCATTGGCCTTGATCTTTCACTGGAACCACAGCACCCTTGGCTCTCCAATCCACGGTGTCAGGCAACTGGTCGCCGGCGTGGTAGGCGTAGCGATCGCTCTTCGTGGAGCCGGAGAGCGATCGCCTGGATCGGTTCATCTTGGCACCCAAATAGATGGACCGGTACTCGTCGTTGGTAAGATCAGCGAACCGGGTGAGACCGAGGTTGAATGAGCGGTTCTCTACGTTATTGTGCTCATCAATGAAGCGGAGGTTATCCTTAAAGATCTGAAATCTCCTCTCCTTCTCTCCCAAGGCATTGTGGGCTTTGCCATGCCTGACGAGCCAGGACTCGTACATGCTCCTCACGTGCCTCTCGTCTCGGAGAGCGCCTTTGGGCACGTGGCTGGCGTCATAGTCGATGATGGACATGTCCAAAGCAGAGGCGATAGCAGAGAAGGAAAGAAGAAGGAGAAAGAGACGCGTCGACAACGATGTTTGAAAGGAGTCCATTGTTGTGGTGGAAATGGAGAGAAGAGATTGGGAGGAAGGAGAAGGAGATCACAGAGATGGAGGTGATCAGAAGAAAGAGGCAGCAGATTGGTTAGAAGAACAGAAAGAGCAAGGAAATAGGAGTTCGTATCTGTCACGCTTGTCAAATTGTTCATCATCCCAAGACCATGAGGTGGAATTTACCCTAGATTCGGGCCTTCATTCCTTTCCCAACAACCCTCGCCATACTCTGTTTCAACAATTAATATTTTAATTTTTTTTCCTAATACAATAATAAAATATGGAAAAACACCACTGTAGATATTTATAATTAATCAATTTTGAATCCGGTTTCTATAATTTATTTTATCTTAATTCAATTTTTACAATTTAATACATTAAATTTTTTAATCTTTAAAAAGTAAAATATTTAAATCTTTCTTTAAAAATATAAAATTAAGAACCCTTATATTTTTATTAAATAATTATATGATTTTAAACTTAATTATATAATTTTTACAACTCAAAATTTGAATAATTATATTTTTTAAAAATATTTTTTATACATAAAATTTTTTTATAAAAAATTGATTAAAATTTAAACAGTTTATTAAAACAATTTTTTTCAATTTTTACTAAAAATGTTAAATTAAATTTTCTGTAGAATCTAAGAGTATTTTTTTAAAAAAAATTAATAATTCATTATTAATTTTAACCTTAAGAGTTTAACATATATAATAGATCAAATTATAAGAGTTTAATTAAATAAAATAAATTACAAAGACTTAATTTAAAGTTGAGTAAACTATAAGGAACAGCAGATATATTTTTTATAAAATATTTGTAATTATAACTAGCATCCAAAGTTATTTGGATTTTTTTTTTGGCAGCGAATATGATATCGTTCCAATAACGAAGGCCATCATAACTAAGTTCAGTTATATCTTCTGTCATCAATGTATAACTATTAATTTGTTTTTAACTTGAAAATCTTCTGCGCGATAACTTTCAACTATCACGCCCTTCTCAAATTTCAAGAATACGGCTCCTTCCGATATCTGCGATACTTTAAACATCCTAATTAAATGTCTGTTTGGCTTTTTGTTAGTTAAAAATTAATTTATTAAAAGTTTATTTGATAAAAATTACCTTAATAAAACACAATTATTATAATAAAATTTATAATTAGATATTTTTTTAAAAAAATTAATTTAAAAAATTAAAAATTATTTAGATTATAACAGTAAAATATACTTTTGAATTTATAATTACAAAAAATAAAATTAATTTATAATGATTTGTAATTTTTATTATATAAATGTAATATATTTAAGTTTAAAATATTTAAAAACTGTGATAAAAAATTAAAATAATATAAAATTTGATATGTTAAATAATAAAAACAAAAAATATAAAGTTTGGTATATTAAAAAATTATACAATAAATAGTTTAACATATATTAAGATTGAAAATTAATATGATTCAAAAGGTATATATGATAAACTTCTTTTATTCAAAAAAGTTTAACCAACTGGACAAACATTGGACAATGAAAATTTTAAATAACAAAAAATTTTATATATTGGACAAAAAATTTATAAATAGTTGAATATAATGTTAAAAATTAACATGATTAATTATTTTATTTATAATGTTAAAAACTTAATCTCTAATTATTATTATTTAAATAATGATTATATTTTTTAATGAATTAATAATTATTTTTAAATAAATGAATAATAAATTAAATTTGAAATAGTATAATTAGATGACATCTCATTTTTTTAAATTTATTTTTCAAAAACTTCATCCTCTAAATTCATTTTTAATAACATTCTCTAATGCACTTTTATCTTTTGCTTTTTATTTTTTTAAACAACATCCGGCATCTTGAAAGTGGAAAAGTACTTCTCAAAAGTCAAAAATAAGTTTACCAAACACATGCTAAATTCTTACAGGTTCAAGTGTAAGAATATTTATTGTTGCATGGGATCCTACGTATTGAACCATTTCATACAACTTTGATGTTAAATATGGAATCTTTTGCAGACTGCTTCATTTGATTTTATTTACAAGATAAATAAATAGGATTTTTTGGTTATATTTATAAGTTATATTAATAAATTTTCATCACAAATTTTTTATTTTATCCTCAATTGAATATTGAAGAGAGAAAATATATTGTTAAAATATATATATTTAAGATGAGCAAAGTAAAGAACTTATTAAATTGAACAAAATTAATAAATTTTAAGATTTTTTAATTCTAATAAAATATATTATAAATGACTTATAAATAGAATTAGAAGGATATAATTATTTATTAAACATTGCCAAATATGCTCCTTTTCAATTAATATTTGTCAAACAATGAAAAATATGCTCCTATTCAATTAATGTAAAAGTAGGAGAGAAAATAGAGTTTATCTATTATTTTATTTTATTTTCAACAAAATCGATAGAGATAGATTTACAAAAAGAGCATGGTTTTTGAAACGATTGAGGTTAGTAATTACCTTAACTCCATTTCTTAATCACAACATTTGATTAAAATGATCTTATACTAAGAATTGGAATGAGTGTGTTTAAGGATATCTAATTATTAAAATTTTAATAAAAGATAACATTCCTTAAATGTCCTTAAAAAAAGAACAAGGTGGTTGAAATAGTTTATTTCATGGTCATTACTTTTTCTCCTAAATATAATTTAATCACTATGATTGAGAAAGCATGCTTTGTTAGATTAGTGAGACATAATACTTACAACACTCCAAGACAAAGAAAGGAGAAATCCCACCACGGCCTCGTTTTTCAAGTAATCAATTTAATATTTGACAACTAGCGGGCACACGTGTTAATAGAAGGTTCAAATTTGGACCCCATGCTCATGAGGAGATTACCGTTGCCAAAAAGGCAACTAGCCATTAGCAAATCCCATCAGTGTTTGTTTCTCCTATGTAAACGGAGTTACAGATGATGTTCAAACGATGAAACAGACAAGAGTAGGTACACGAAGTACTATTGATGAGGTTCCAATTCTAACTTGAATGGCATGATTTCCTGATTACCCAGTATGATAAGAGGCATGGAATGATTCATGAACGCGTCTAATTTACTAAAATCGTTTTGTCACGTTACCAATATTCAGTTCATATGTAGACGGTACAAAAAACTTCAAAATTCATAAAATCAGGAAGGGGATTGAACGCCTCGTACTGAGTTCTTTCTGCTTACGTGCGGATTTACAGTTGACAATAAAATGGAGAATTGGGTAGCTACTGTTACAGAAGGAAAAAAAGGATTTAAAATAAAAAGTTAAAAAAGACCGATTTTTGGTTTTGAATAAAATCTGGACAACATTGTTCAAAAAGGAGTACCAGATTAAGTCTCTAGACCAACAGGCTTCTTATCATCATCCATTGCCTTTGTACAGTAAAGTGGGTGTTTACCATGACAACAAAGATGGCCCGAGCTAACAGATACTTGACTAGTAATTAAATGACAAAAATCTAGCATAATTAATTATGTTTTTCAAAGGATGTTGATCAAGATCCTGTTTAGTAACCGTAAAAAAAAAAAAAAAAGCAAAGACTGAAAACTCTGTGTTGGAACAACCTTCGAATTGGCCTGTGTCTAGAAGTTGAGATTACAACTTGCTTGGCGCGAACTATGTCCATTGATCACACGGCAAAAGCGACATCGTTTAATGGATTGATTGCCCCATCCATATGTCCAAGTCTCTCCTTTATTTTCAGCTTCCATGAAAAATTAAAGGCTTGCATGCTTCATGTCTCGACCTCTCTCTTTTTCTTTTTCTTTTTCGGGCCAACTTCATGTCTCCATCTCATGAGTATGATATTTTCTTCACCTACATTAACCACATTGTTAACAGTTGCATCCCAACATGCTATTAGTTATTGTACATTTATATTAACTTCCCCTTATACCCTTATATATTTATTGTACACTTCAAATTTATTGACTGCAACTTGCTAACAGTGATGATTGGGAATTCTGTGTTTAAAAGGTGTGGTCAGACTATTTATGTCGTCTTCCTTGAATTATATCCACCAGAGGCCCAATAAAGCGGAGATTTTTCTGCAGAGAGCTCGAAGATCACTAGCATTTAATCTCCAACGGGAGAACCCGTTTGAATGCATAACTTTTAACTTTTAGAATATATTGCTATACTTTTTGAACGTAGAATATTGTTTGAAAATTTTATGACTGAATAAATTAATTTTTTAAATGTACATTGAGAAAGCTATTAAAAGTATATTTGAGAATTAATTTTTTGAAGTTTTTTAAATTGACCTTTTGGTGTTGAGTTTTTAAATTTATTATACTGTCCTTATTCCCTTACAATACTTATTACGTGCTCTGTTTTATTAAAATTTGAATTTAATGCAATAGCTATAAAGCCAAATAAATTATATAGGGAAGTAATTTTGTAAACCTTTTGTATATGAAAAAGAAAAAAATATTTTTAATCCTATTTATAAGATATGACATTCAATATTAATGACTGTTGAATTATTTATTATATTTTTTTTAATATTAAAATTTACATTTTTTATTCTTATTATTTAACATATTAAATTTTATGTTATTTTGATTTTTTTTATATTTTTAATATATTATATTTGTATAACAAAAATTATAAATTATCATAAATCAATGTCCTTTTTTATCACTATACATTCAAAAGTACATTTTAAAAACACAAATCATTATTAATCTAAATAACTTTTAATTTATTAAACTAACTTTTAAAAAAATATATCCAAACATAAATTTTATTATAACAACTAATTTTATTAAATTAATTTAAATTAAATAAATTTTTATCAAATAAATTTTTAATAAATTAAAAACCAAATACATGGAGTAGACCAAATTTTCCTTTCAAGTCAATCCTTCGGGTGGGTGTAACCATGTGCTTTGTTTACTAGCATGAAGCGTCTTTAGTGTTAAAGTCGAGAAATTTAGGGCCTACCGAAAAGGTTGTTTATTAGCCTTCTCCTCTGCTCGCACAAGGGAAAAAAGGAAAAGGCACATAATCATCTCAGAAGACAACCCCCCCTCCCCCTCTCTTTTTTGTTTTTGCCGTAGATAGATCATTTATGGCTCTTATGCGAGGCTTGACTTTTCAACATGTACGATCAAGACACATTTTCTCGATATATATATAATCCCATACGACCCCAGCTTTCATTACACCCAACTCTCATCAGCTTCTTGTGCTTGTCTGGAAGTTGAAGATGGATAACATCACTCTATGTGTTCTATTGTTGATATTTGCTAGTGCTTTCCTGCCTCATTCTTCACATTCGCATGAGCTGACCAGGTCGAAAAGAGAAGCTTTAGAGATTATCATTGGCGGCGGCGGCGGCGATACTGGAAATGCTCCTTCGTCTTCCCCAGAATGTGGAGAATGTCAAAGTCCTCCGCCTTCTCCTCCACCTTCATGCTCACCTCCTCCTCCACCGCCGCCATGCCCACCTCCGCCCTCTCCTCCCCCACCGCCGCCTCCGCCTCCTCCCCCTCCACCCCCGCCGCCTCCCCCTCCCCCACCGCCGCCTCCCCCACCACCGCAACCCAGGCTGAAACGAGCAAAAAAAGTGCTTCTAAAATTCAAGCAGAACATCTGCGATCCGCAGGGCCGAACGTCAAACTGGAAGATGTCCAACGACGTATGTAAATTCAATGGCATCCGTTGCGCCACATATCCGAACGAAAAACAGAAGGCAGTGGCGGGACTGGACTTTAATGGCTACGCATTCTCCGCGGTGCAGAAGGATAAACCGCTTGACCTTTTCGGAATCTTGGCCCCGATCCCAGAGTTAGCATTCTTCCATGTGAACTCCAACAATTTCAGCGGCCAAGTCCCACCTCAAATCTCCCAGTTCCCATACTTCTTCGAGCTCGACCTCAGCAACAACAAGATAAGCGGTGAGTTTCCGAAAGAGGTCCTTCTATCGAAACAACTTGTGTTCCTGGATCTCAGGTTCAACGAACTTTGCGGTTCGATTCCACCGCAGCTCTTTAAGCTGCAACTAGACGTCATCTTCATCAACAACAACCAGCTCACCGGATGCCTTCCCGATGACTTCGGGTCCACGCCGGCCAGGTATCTTACATTCGCCAACAACAAGTTAACGGGTCCGATCCCCAAGAGTATTGGTAAAGCCACGAACATCACGGAGGTGCTGTTCCTGGGGAATCAGTTTTCTGGATGTTTACCTTATGAGATTGGGTTCCTCGTCAAAGCTACGGTTTTCGACGTGAGCAAGAACTGGCTGACCGGTCCAATCCCGCACTCCTTTGCCTGCTTGGATAACATCCAGTTCTTGAATTTGGCTGATAATCAGTTCTACGGGCCCGTTCCGGAGTCGGTGTGCAAGCTTTCAGGGCTCCGAAACGGGAATTTGACGCTGTCGGGTAATTATTTTACCCAGGTGGGACCAGAATGCAGGAAGCTGATAGACGCGAAGGTGCTGGACGTGCGGCGGAATTGCATTCTAGGACTTCGCGATCAGAGAACACAGGCTGAGTGCACCAAGTTCTTCTCCGAGGTCAAGCCGTGTCCGAACCCCAGGACTTTGCACATCGTACCTTGTAACAAGTACTATGAGAGCTACGAGAAGACGGTGCCGGGACCGGCGGCAGCAGGTTCACCGCCGACTCCGGTGACCTACAAGTCACTCAAACCGCATCGCTTGTGAATCAGCATTATGACGAGGCATTTTGAATAACTGTTGTCTCTTAATTTTAATCATATGCCTATTTGCACATAATCTATCTTTAATTGTGGCCCTCCATCGGCCCTTGATTTGTATAATAGAGTAATGAATAAGCTGTACAAGTGTACTGTGACCCGATTTGGCATCTTTCACTCGATGGCAGATTGGATATTACTAAAGTATGGTGTAATCATTGTAGTTGTTATTCGTGCAATAAAAATAAAATAATTCTAAATATAGATATTTTTAAACGTGAATTTCCCTTTTTTTCCCTTTTAAATAAAAATAATTTATTTAAACTTAACTTTATTTATTTTTTTAATTATTAAATTTAAATAATATTTATATATTTAAACTACAATAAGCGTATAATATAATTATATATATTACTTGTTAAATAGTTCAAAATAATTTTTTTAATAATATTATAGATAACTTTATTATCACTCACAAATATGTCCCTGTCGTCGTGTCAAAATTAGTTTCTATGATTCTCTCTTTTATATAGGTTTTTTTCTTTTCTCTCTTTATATTTTTATTTTCTTCATTTATATTTATTTATAAATATTTTTGCTCGTTGATTTTATTTTTTCCCCTTTGATTGAAATGTGTTTGAAAGTTCAACTAAAATTGTCACAGTCATTTTATTTTTATTCTATCATCTATTTTTTATCAACATTTATTCTCTATTTTTCATTAATTAAAACCAATTTAATAATATTACATGCAATGTTATCAATGTTTTCATTTTGAAACTCATGTCTTTCATTGTAATTTAAACATATAAAATTAATTCTGGCTAAAATATTAAAAAATATTTTTATCAAAATTAATTTTAAAAAATAATAATATTCAAACATGATTTTGTTATAATATAGAGAGAATTTTAGTTAAGAATCAAGAGACAGATTTAATTTAAGATAGATTTAAAAATATTTTAAAATTTTAGTTCAATTCAAGGGAGAAAAGTTAAAAAAACTTTGATAATAAAAAAACTAAAATACCCTTTACGTGTTATACATAATCACTGATTACTAATTTTCTTACTATATTTATTAATTTATCAATATCATTTGTAAATTACATGAATTTTTTAGACAATCAGTAACATTAGTTGTTAATTTATTAATTTACTAATATCAGTTATAAATTACAAGACCTATCAGTAATTTACAATTGATATTAATAAATTAACAAGTGAAGTTAACAATTTAACAAATGATATTGCCCTTATGATTAAAAAATTGATATCAAGTCTTATATAATTATTGACATTTCAACTCATGTAATTTGCAACTCATATTTATAAATTAATAAGTAAATTAAAACAATTAATAACTAGTGATTTTGTATAATAGATAAAGGATATTTTAATCATTTCATTGTCGAAATTCTTTTACCTTTTCTTTCCTGAATTTAATTAAAATTTCAAAATATTATTGGACCTACATGAAATTAAATCTCTTCCCTTATACTTAAACTAAAATTCTCCCTATAATATATTTCTTTTGGTCCAAAACATAAGTTAAAAAAAATTCACATACCAATAAAGTCATGATTCTCATAAAAATATGTATTACTATTTTTTTTACCTCTAGTCCCATTACTAATGTACTAATATGATGAGTGAGGAATATTTTTATACAAATATTTATATTAAAAAAAATGCAAGAGTTGATTTAAAATAGGAAAATAATTACTTGTACTAAGCTTCTTACATTTTAAACCAACATTAATTTTAAAAATATGATTATATTTTAGGCAAGGGAGTAACCAATTATAATGAAACACTAATTATATTAATTAATTTTTTTATAATTAATAATATTCCATCCAAATTCATATTCCATTCAAATTCAAATGGCCTGTTGATGCAGAATGGGGGAAGAGAAGGGGAAAGAGAAAATAGAAAAGAATCATTAGAAAGAATAGAGAGAAGAAAAAACTCAAAGAAGAGGCAAGATAATAATAATTTTTATTTAATCAAATGTGTATCTAAAACAAATGAGCTAAGGCGCTATTTATAAGCCTTAACCTTAATCTTATATTTGAATGCGAGAAGTTATAGAAATCCTAGATCAAATTAAAAGATAATAGTAAATATTAAAATATAACAATAATTCAAATATTATGACAACTAAAATAAAATATTTTTAATTAATAAAATATTTTTAAAAAATATCTTTGATCTTTCAATCTTTTCAAGTCTTCAATATCTTTAATTTTTTTTTTCTTCCCATCATTTTTTCCTCTCTTAAAGAACTTTCCTCCGGAGAGTAGAATTGTGGATATGCTCTAGAAGTATGACAAGATTGAAAGACTCTAAGTCATTGCTGTATCTGGGAATCACTTCCAGCAAATCAAATACCAATAAATGACATCAAGTGAACAACAAACAATTTAAGCATGTAGAGTCATAAAGTGCAAGTCTGAAAATCCTTTCCAGTAAATGAGGGAATATTGGAGGGGACCATATAGTTCAAGAATAATTCGTGCTTTCAGAGTTGCAATAACCTTAACACTATGTGGTATAGCATAACAACAAGGTAAAATAGGAGTAGGATCAAATTGCATACTACCATCAATAATTTCAAAAGGAATAACCATCATAGGTAGATTTTGTATATGTAGTTACTATGTTATATTATTGACTTCTACTTGTTTCTTAGCGTCACCTATCTTTACGGGGGGTATACAATTTTCAATATGATTTGAATCCTCCTTCACATCTAAAGCATCACATACATTAATCTCAAAATTATCAACACCATTGATTTTTGACACCACATATATAGGCAAAAGGTCTTTGTTGAGCATATTATCCCTTTTAAAAGTTAAAATATTAAGGTTTTTTAGTTGAGCATATTATCCCTTTTAAAAGTTAAAATATTAAGGTTTTTTTATTTTAAGATACTATCAATAGGATTAAAAGTTTCTTTCTTTCGATATGACTTTTCTTTCTTAAGGAAGCTTTGGAGTTCATCAATTTTATCTCCCACAAGTTCAATACTAATAATAACATTAATGATGATTGACATAATCATAATGGTGATGATCAGCATAGTCATGTTGACAATAATAATTATATTGATAACAATCAATATAATCATATTGACAATTAAATGAGGCTATAAAATCATGATTGAAGTTTTTTTTTTCTGAGAGGTTGTAATATCCTATTTGAAAAAATATTTTCAAGTTGCCCCCACCTAAAAGGTGGAAACCCTATTCAACAAGTCTAATTCTCCAAGAATTCAAAAGTTTCTCATAGATCAAACATGCTAAATAAGTAATAACATAAATGAAGTATACAAAATGACCTCTTGAGGCCTAGAAACCCCTCAGAAAAACTGATAAAAACTCTGACTAGCTTAAGATATTTTGACTCGGGTATAGGGCTGAATTGTGTGTGAGAGTTGGATGTGACCTAAGATTATAAGAAAGAGGATTAAAAGTTATCAGTCAATTTTTTTTGGATTAAATCAAATGAAAAAAAATTCAAATGAGTGAAGGAATGTAAGGAAAATATGAAATCAAAAGAAGGAAGAAAGGAAATAAAATATGAAAAAAATAATAGCAAAAAAAAAAAGAAAATATGTGAGAATGGCTTGAAGTGAAGGAAAGTGAAAACAAACAAGAATAATAGAAAAAAGGAATTAGTAAAAGAGACAAGTAGTACGGGACTTAGAATTTAGGATTGAAGAACCTTGCTGATTAATTTGAAGAGCTTTACATTATGAAACTTATCTCCCAAAGTGTTTATGTATGATGATTTTTAGTACTAAAAAGATATTTTAGAGTGAGTTTGATAATAGAATGAAGCAAAGTGAGAATCTTGGCTTTGATGCTAATTGATGCAGAACATGAGAAGAAAAGGGGAAAGAGAACATAGAAAAAAGATAAAGGGATCACTAGAAAGAATAGTGAGAAGAGAAAACTCAAAGAAGAAATAAGATAATGATAATTCTTATTCAATCAAATATGTGTCTAAAATAAATGAGCTAATTAGGCACTATTTATATACCTCAATCTTAACTTTAGAATTAAATGCGAGAAATTATAAAAAATTGAAATAAAATAATAATATAATAAATATTAAAAAATAATAATTTAAATATTAAGATAATCAAAATAAAATATTTTTAATTAATAAAATATGTTTGATTTTTGAATTTTCTTTTCAATATGTTTAATTTTTTTCCCCCTTCCCATCACCTGCGCTCCCTGCTCTTCAATTTCAATTATATCTATCGGGAGCATTTATTATTTGTCAGAATTTTTATCCTACAAAACAAACTTCTGTCCTTCTGTGAACGTGTCGTCAATAAAAGTGTGCACTTTGAACAATCAACAAAGTGGCTTCTTTTTTCTCCAAGAATTAAAAAAAATCGATCGAGTGGCTGCTTTTGTACGCAGTTCGAGACAAAAAAGTTTCTGAAAAAGGTAATAATAAAATACCACGAGTGCCCCAACTTATAAATTAAAAAAGCCAAGAAATAAAATATTTATTATTTATTATTATTACATAATATTTTTTATATTTTTTTATAAATTATTTTTATTAATCTCATCAATAAAAAATATAAAAAATAAAATTTTAAATTTTAAATATACCCTCGTATAATAAATTTAAAAAATAATATTATATTAATTTTTTTATAAATAATAATTTTAAAAATATTTTTTAAATATCATTTAAAAAGTCATACCATAATTTATAAATAAAATTAAATAAATTTTTTAAAATATGACTTATAATTAAAATGAGAGGGGGTATTTATAACTTTTTTAAAATATTAAAAGAGAACAAAACATTAAACATAAAAAAAATTAAAAAAACTGTAAGATTGATAAAAAATATTATAAATATTATAATAAAATTTAATTTAATTTTATATTGCTAAGAAATATATGTTAGTTAAATAAATTTTAAAACATTAAATGAATCACTGTTATACTTTGCATTAAATAAATCAAAATAAATTTAATAATATCAAATGCAATTTTATTCACCACTGTAATTTACATATTTAAAAATTAATTTTAATTAAAATTATTTAAATATTTGTAATTTTATCAAAATTAATTTTAAAGAATATCACCCAAATATTGCCATGGTATAATATACTCCATCTGTTTAAAAATAGAAAGTATTTTTAATTGAATCTCATTTTCTAATAAAATAATTACTTACTTTCAAACTAACATTATCTTTTCATATTTACTTCTATTAAACA